AGAGAGAAAAGAAGAGAGAGAGCAAGAGAGAGAGAGAGAGATAGAGAGAGAGAGAGAGAGAGAGAGAGAGAGAACATTGATTGGTTGCCTCCCACATGTACCCCGACTGGGACTGGGGATCAAACTACAACCCAGGAATGTACCCTTGACTGGGAATCGAACCTGTGACCCTGTGGTGGGCCAACACTCTAACCACTGATCCACATCAGCCAGGGCTATGGATTTCATTTTATTCTATTGTGATTAACAAAGATATTTTATTTTTAAAATTCATTATTTTTATTTTTTTTCAATTACGGTTGACATACAATATTATATTAGTTTCATGTTTACACCCCAGTCATTAGACATAAAATTTATTAAATGATCATCCCTATAAATATCATACCCTTCTAACACCATCCACAGTGATTTGGAACTAGAGGCCTGGTGCATGAATACATGACCAGGTGGGGTCCAGCCGGCCTGCCTCGGGGCCGATCGGGCTGGGTGGGCCAGGGGGAAGGGCCACGGGGGGTTGGCAGGCTGGTCGAGGGGACAACTTGCATATTAGCCTTTTATTATATAGGATTGCCATTTTATTGTTTATATATACATATATACATACATATATTTAAATCTTTATTGTTGAAAATATAACATATTTCCCCTTTTTTCCACCATTGACCACCTCCAGCCCACTCCCACCCTGCCCCAGGCCTCACCACCCCACTGTCTGTGTCCATGGGCCATGCATATATGCATACAAGCTCTTTGGTTGATTACCTCCCACCCCCCATCCTCCCTGCCTTCCCTCCGAGATCCTGCACTCTGATCCATGCTTCCATGTCTCACTTTATTTTGTTCATTAGATTCCACATATGAGTGGGATCATGTGATACTTGTCTTTCTCTGACTGACCTATTTCACTTAGCATGATACTCCCCAGGTCCCTCCATGCTGTCTCAAAGGGTAAGAGAGCCTTCTTTTTTACTGCTGCATAGTATTCCATGGTGTAAATGTACCACAGTTTTTTCATCTACCCATCTACTGATGGGTGTCTTGGCTGTTTCCAGATCTTAGCTATTGTAAATTGTGCTGCTATGAACATAGGGGAGCATACATTCTTCTGATTGGTGTTTTGGAATTCTTAGGATATATTCCTAGAAGTGGGGTCACTGGGTCAAATGGCAGTTTCATATTTAATTTTTTGAGGAAACTCCATACTGTCTTCCATAGTGGCTGCCCAAGTCTGCATTCCCACCAGCAGTGAACTAGGGTTCCCTCTTCTCCACACCCTCGCCAGAACTTGTCATTTGTTGATTTGTTAATGTAGCCATTCTGACAGGTGTGAGGTGATACCTCATTGTTGTTTTAGTTTGCATCTCTCTGATGTTCAGTGACTTTGAGCATTTTTTCATATGTCTCTTGGCTGTTTGTATGTCCACTTTGGAGAAGTGTCTATTTAGGTTCTTTGCCCATTTTTTAATTGGATTGTTCAGTTGTATAAGTTCCTTATATGTTTTGGATATTAACCCTTTAACAGCTGTATCATTGCCAAATATATTCTTCCATATAGTGGGCTCCCTTTTTGTTTTGTTGATGGTTTCTTTTGCTGTGCAGAAGCCTTTTATTTTGATGTAGTCCCATTTATTTATTTTCTCCTTAGTTTTTTTTTCCTAAGACAGTGGTCACCAACCGGTGGTCCATGGACCACTGTGAGGCCCGAAAGGTTGGCGACCGCTGCCCTGGGAGATGGATCTGTAAACATATTGCTACAAAAAGATGTTTGAGATTTTGCTGCCTATGGTTTCTTCCAGGATTTTTATGGTTTCACACCTTACATTTAAGTCTTTTATCCATTTTTAGTTTATTTTTGTATATGGTATAATTTGGTGGTCTAGTTTCATTTTTTTGCATGTATCTGTCCAATTATTCCAACACCATTTATTGAAGAGACTGTCTTGATTCCATTGTATGCTCTTGCCTCCTTTGTCAAATATTAATTGAGCATAATGACTTGGGTTGATTTCTGGAGTCTTCTGTTCTATTCCAATGATCTATATGCCTGTTCTTGTGCCAGTACCAGGCTGTTTTGATTACAGTGGCTTTGTAGTATAACTTAATATCTGGCATTGTGAGCCCTCCAATTTTGTTCTTCTTTCTCAAGGTTGCTGTGGCTATTTGGGGTCTTTTTTGGTTCCATATAAATTTTTGGGGTCTTTTTTTTGTTCTAGATCTGTGAAATATACTGTTGGTATTTTAATAGGGATTGCATTG